TTCTCAGCGAAGAGCTTCCTACAGTGGCCCAGGGGAGTCAGGCCCAGGGCAGTCCTGGGTTTAAACCTGGACTTGCCAGAAACAGCAGACACTCAGGGAAGCACGAGGATGCTAATGACAGAGAGAAGAGGACCCATCTGGTGTTTTTGAAAGCTTGTCTCCAGTTGTGCCTATTCATTTGCCATCGTCGCATTTTCCCTTACGCCCATTTCCCTAACTTCCAGAGGCAGCACGTCACTTACTGGGCCTCAGTAATTCATAACACCTATTGCACAAGTATCCGTCTTAGAAATATATTTGGCTCCTTCCCAGAACTTGTGCTAGCCCACCGGAAAGGTGTCAAATCTTACTCTTTTGAAGAAATTCTCAAAAATGCACATAGACAGTCAAACAATTTGTTTCCCTCACCCTACAGAGAAGGACTGTGAGGAGGAAGCACCAGGGCAGTGATGCACCCGTCAGCTCTGCTTTACTGCTCTTTGTCTGAGGTAGCGTTTTTACTTCTAATGATGATGAAATAGAGGAGTAATGGGAAATAAAATTCATTATCAACAATTATTTAGAAGTGGCATAAAATATTTTCTAGCCAGCTCCTTCTGGGTGCCCAAAGGAACATCGTCTGTGTTCAGTTGCAAGGATTTCTATTTCAGAGTAAAGTCACTTGGATGTGCTCTGGCACTAAACAGAGTTCTGGCTTTTATGCCTATTTTGCTGCTGGATCGCTGCAGCCACTGAAAATATCTGGTGCCCCTGTGCAACAGAGAGTTGTTTGAAGCTACCAGCTCTATTTATCAGTCAAAGTCCTATTGTTTTGGGTTTGTTTCGTTGGTTTTTTTTTGTTGTTGTTCATGGTGGTTCGGGGTTTGTTTGTTTGGGTTTTTTTGTGGTTTTTTTTTGGTTTTTTTTTTTTTTTTTTTTTAAAGAAAGTAGGTAGAATTCATATCTTTCCTCCACTTGACCCAAGAAGAGGCATCAAAGTTTTTTGCCTTTTTTTTTTTTTCTCCTCTTCCCAGTAAGTAAGGGTGGAATAGGATTAAAGAGGAGCTATTGTTCAGGCCTGATCAAAAGCAGAAGAGACACGTCTCTGTTCAAAGGGAGCCTGTCCTGAGCCTCTGCTTCAGACGGGGTGAACGGTCTCAGACACGCGTGTTTCTCTCTCCCTGCTGAGCAGACAAGGCCACCCTGGCTGAGCGTTCGCTTGGCCGCTGCAAACCTCACCCTAAGCACCACCACTGAAGTCAATGTGCTAATGTCCCTTCCCTGCTCCCCCCGTGGCTCGGGGCTAAAAGGAAGGACACCAGCAGCTGGAGGCTAATGAGGATTTTTCTTTTCTTTTTTTTTTTTATTTTTTAAAAAAAAATCAGAGCAAGTTGCTAGCTGAGGCAGCGCATATCCTGCAACCTCAGCCTGAGCAGACACAGAAACCACCTATATGGCAACGAGCAACCGCTGGCTGGAAGCAATTTTCTCTAAGTGCAAGTAGTTGATGCTGGTGGAGGCAGTCACACGTTGGGAAGAGAAACATGCTTTCTTGCAACGAGAACCTTCACACGCCCTTTGCCCCTGCGTCACTTTCTTTTACAGTCGCAAGGATAGTTGCTCAGCCGCCAGCTTTAACAGCGTGCAAAACTTCCAGAGCGCATCTTTCAGCCAGGAGAAGACGACAGATTTTTTTAATATTGGCTTACGAGTAACAGAAAAGTAACGTATTTCTGGCTATTTAGGTAGTGACGTGGCTAAAACAAACTCCTTTGTTTTCAGCAGCTGTTAACAATACCTGTAGGGAGCTGTTCCCAAGGCGGTTATCTCTGGCGCTGGCGGCGGTAGGATGTAAACAGCCCGTATCAAGTTAATGGAAAAGACCGAGCAGCCAAATCTGAAAGGAGCCGTGTTCAGCGGGGCCCCTCTCGCAGGGGGGCCGTTCTCACGCGTGGCCGTGGCAGCGGCTCTGGCGTGGGGAGGGCAGGTCTGCCCTCGGTGCCGTGCGGCGGGGGGCGGCGGAGGGTTTGCAATGACAGCCGCCGCCTTCGAGCTCGGGGTCAGCGCCCAGCTAAGGCGCCGATGGCCTCCAGCCCGGAGCTGGCTCGTGCCTGCCTGGGTCGGAACCAACGTGTGGCTGTCTGCGTTCGTCCACGCAGACGTACCCTAAGGTTAGAAAGATACCGATGGGTTATTTTGAATGACATAGTCCGGACTTGCTCGCTGTGGGAGGTGTGATGGGAACCCTTTCTGTCTGTCTTGATAATTTAATGAGCTGTTGTAATGAGGGATGCACTGAGCCCCTCATTTGTATGCCGTTCCCACATGAGATGTGAATATTAAATTCCTCCAAGTATGAATCAGCACCTCTTACTCCCACAGCTCTTTCCACTATCTCTCCATCTCCACAGCTCCAGATCCCCCCCCACCCCACCCCACCGGTGCCCCCCCGGGCTCCCCCACTTCACTGCCACTGCAACAGCCACCGAAGGAGAGAGGTGCACCCCTGGCCACAGCCAGAACCATCGGCCATTCGGCAGGACAGAGCCAGAGAAAAGGTCTCGGCTCTTTCTCAAAAACCGACCGCAACCGGGCTAGCCCCGTGGCCTGTTAGCGCTCAGGAAAATTGCATGACATGGGAAATTAAACCTACAGGGCATCGCTGTCTCTGACAGCTGGTAGTTTAAATAATGAATTGGTAATTATAAACCCTTTTGAAATAAAAATGAAGTTTAAAAAAACATAAACTTTTTCAGACACACCTTTTGATGGTGAAGGGCTTTCCCACGTAGATTCCACCAGCAGCCGTCACTCAGCACTGGCAGACAGCAGGTGCTTGCTGCTCCGTACGGGGAGAGACACACTCACCAAACGAGAAAAGTCAGGGGCTAAACGAGTTTGCAAATAGCAGCAATTCCAGTCCAAAAAATCATTTCCATAGCAGAGGGGAGGAAGTGCTCCCTGAGGACAAGGAGGCTGGCTGGCTTTCCCTTTTTTCTGCTGAATAGATGTTCTTTTGTACACAGTAAGGAAGGAAAAATAATGGGAGAATGGGACGAAATTGAAACATTCGGAATTGCAGTGTAAAAGTCACCACCTGCTCCTGCAAAACAGGCTATTCTTTATTTCCAAAGTCCTGGGAGTTGTAAACCAGGATTTCTCAATAAAGTGTGTTAAGCTTAAAGGCATGAAGATAGCGACAGATCCAGACTTGTCAGTGCCATGAACATTTGTCTTGGCCACAACATACGTGTGTACACAAAGTGCTGCATCTACCATCTAATGCCTTCCACGTTATACCCAAAGCTGTGCAGAAAGTCCCGCCTCAAAAACGTACAGAAACTGACGTTAAATTGTGTGTCTTGGTATAAAAACAAACCTAACATCTTAAACGCCAGGATTTCTGCTGTAAGGTCCTTCCTTTTGGGACTTCTCCGCAGTCACCTACACCCAGACTCCAGTTGCTTGAGATCTCCAGGACCAAAGCCAAGAGTAGAACAGGAAAGAGAAAGTACAAACCTCAAACCCAGTAAATGGGAACTTTATTAAACTACCAAGTTACTCCGAAATGTATAAATGTTCCATTAAATACATTCAGTTTTCTTTTACACATTTATAGAAATTTATTTACATATTCCAAACACATTTAAATTATTTTTCAAGCTTGCTACCAATGAATTTTTTTGTTGTTTTTTTTTTTTTTTTTTAAAAAGGAAAAAAAGTCAATCATCTGCTCTTGCAGATGTGCATACACACACACAGATACAAATAAGGGAGATGCTTTTGTACCTAACCCACAAGGGAGGCAGTATCCAAAAAGCTTATAGGTTTTCAAGCAAAAAGTCGCCCTTGCTGAAAAGTGGGCTATATAAATTCTCCCTGTGGCACAGGCTCAAACAAGAGGCCCTACGCAATACCTCACGGTGTTTGGGTATGATGTCTGCATCAAGATTTGCTGGTACGTGGGAAGAGCCAAAGGCCCCTTGCCAAATTCAAATCACAAAGCTAGCTGTCCCTGATACTAGCCCACGAGAAGCATGCGAGCAATTAATGGCTCATTCTCATGGAATTATGCTCTCCCGGCACCGGGGGATTGAGCAGACAGGCAGATCTACCACTAGTGAGTCAATGCCACTTGTCCAAAGAGATTTTCCGTTTACTTTTCATTTTATTCTTAAATGAGGCTTCATTCATAAGTGAATAAAAAGGCAACTCTTCAAATAAGACGCTTAGGAGAACAGTGATCCGTTTCCCCACCTACATACATTTCTCTTGGGAAGATGCGCAGCATGCTGAACAAGTTTTCCCTCATTCTCTGTACCTTAGCCTGACAGGAGTTAAAATCTGTATCTGCAGGAAAAAAAGAGGTGTTTTTATTTTGTAAAAAGCTTATCAAATACTAGTTTAATTCATCCTTTAGAGTCTTTAAACATTAAAAACCACATTTGAAGCAACCAAGGAAATCTACAAAAAAAATTGTCATGCGTAAGCTCTGTGTTTCATGCTAAATATTCATGTTGACAAGGAGAGGGAGAGGAGGAGGAGGCGGCGGCAGGGAAACTAATGGCTCAATCAGAGCCATTGCAACATTCAAGTAATTTGGTAGCAGATACGCCAGTGGAAACATGGAATGGTAAGAAAGTGCTCGGCACTACATGGCAGCCTTCAGGAGTTGTACTGCAAACATCCTTGATATGTATCATAAATATATGGCACTTCTGTATGACCAAAAGCTGGCAAGTTTGCTTGTGACCGAAACAAGTCCGGAGTGGTCGTCAGCCCAACGGTGACCGATGGCCCTTCCGACAGGCACAGCCTCCAGCCGCGCCACGCGGTGCAGCACCAGCCGTATCTCCTTGTGCATGCAAGACAATGCTGCCACATTCTTGGGGAATAAGCCTCCTGCCCAGCAGAAAGCCTTCTCCAGACACACATACACATTCATAAAACATGCTATAAATTCTTCAGTGAGGTTAAAGGCAGCCACAAACAGCAAATGTCTCGTTTTACTATTTTTTGGCCAGCAGTTCCCAGTCTGTCCAATCGCCAGCAATGGACTTCGCAACAGGCAACAAGAATTCCTCAAGCCAAGGAATTGAAAGCAACGGAAAGCACAATCACCTAAGTTCATCTTCAGTTCTGTTCCACAGGATTCACTTTGACATCGAATAAGGAACCAACCAGCACAAAGGCTTGAGTCCTAGGAAGAATCGTATGCACACAAAAACTGGCCTTTATCCATGTTTTCTGTCACAAAGCATTTTGTCTTGTAGTTTAACTTCTTTAAACTTTTTGGCTTTTGGTGACCCTTCTGTATCACAAATATGCAAAAATTCGCTGTTACGCTCGCATTCCATCACAGCAGCTTCAAATACATTCAGATTCATAAAAAAGGATTTAGACCAGAACACAACTACTTGCCCTTTTCCAATGGTGTGCCGTACTTTAATGAGCACACGATGCTGCCTATCAGCAATGTTACTGTTTTAAGGAATTGCACAACACAGGCATCCAGTGCTTGAACAAGTGTTCACATTCCAAGATCCAAAAACCCCTCTCCCTTATTTCAGTAATGGCTTCAGTATTTTACCAATTGTGGTCCGGTTTGTGTCTTTCAGTTTGAGAGAAGCCTTCTCCACTGCTCCCTGCTCCTTTGGTGCAGGCTCCACTTTCGTGTTGACAGCTTCTCCCTGCAGGATGGTTCTTCCAACCACTCTGGCACTACTTGCTCTCTTTAAGGTACTCACACTGTTCTCCTTTGGACTCGGGTCGTCAGAGGATGCCGCTGGCTTCACTTTAGGCAGCCTCTGGGACACAGACCTTGTGATGGTTGGAGGCCTGGACGAGCTGGAGAGATCCACTTTTGCACGCTTTGAAGAAGAAGCCACTGTATTCCTCGCAAAGTTTGGGACAGCGGATGTTGTTTTGGGAACACTGACTGTGGCAACCTTGGCGTCATCCGTAGGGGTGTGGGCTTTTACACTGGAGCGACACATCTTCATTTCGTCTGTCTTTGATTTGACATTACTTCTAACAGGTTTAGAGCTTGGCTTTTTGAGAGAGACTCTGTCCCTCTCGAAATGAGCACTGCTCGAGGTGACAGTGCCCCTTTGTAACTTTGGCTCTTCCACCGACACGCTGTGCCTGTAAGGACTTCTTGGCAGTGTGTCTGTTGTGCCTCGGACAGAGCTGCGACGAGACAGCCGACTTTCCACTGTACTAGTTTCACGAAGTGCTGGTTTGGCTTCTGGCTTTTTCATGCTGCTCGGTGCTCTGTTTGACCGAGAAATAGGCACCACTTTCCTCATACTTTCATTCTCAGAGGCATTCAGAGTTCTCACAGGTCTGGAAGGGGCTGTGTGGCTAGAGCGAGTGCCACTGGATTTTGAGGAGCTTGGAGATCTATCTTTTACAGAGTTTCTCTTTGGTCCTGCTGGGTCTTTATTTTTTATGGGCTTTTCTTTAGGAGGGGTGTGCTTGCTGTTGGCATCATCCTTATCATTTGAGGAAGTGTGAAGAGACAGATCCTTGGCAGAAGCAGAATTCAGGTTTGAGAAGAATGTTCTAGCCCTGTATTGAGCATCGTTCCCAGAAGGTGCTTTACCAGCCTCACTTCTTATTTCATTGCCTGCTGATTTAAAATCATTTCCCTCCTCAGAGTCCAATGTCAAAGAACAATCAGTTGTCGTATCTGACACGTAGAACATTGGCCCATCTTCCCTACTTCCCGAAACACTTGTATCCATAGACATGGGGCTGCTGCTCCTGGGCTCTGAAGCTTCACTCTTGCAACCCACTGCCTTGGCTTTATGATCGTGGGCCTCTCTGGAACTTCTGCAAGCTGGAGGCAGGTCGTCATCGGCGGTGCTAAGGGAATGAAAGCTTAGATCGTCTAGAGTCTCCAGGTCTGTTCCACCAGCATCCTCTAAATATATTAAAGGTGTATCCTCTGCAGGCTTTGCTCCTTGAATATCAAACTTACGTAATCCTTTAACAAGTTCACGCTCCTCAATTGCAAGGGCCAGAGCACTTATATCTGTGGACTCCTCACAGGACACATTGGAAGTGTGCATGTTGTAGTCGGTGCTTCTCTGTGAGTAACGGGCACCAGGACCAGTTGAGCCACCAAAGTGACTGGGCTGAGCTGGAGGCACCTGCAGTAGGCCACCACTTTTCACTTTGGTTTCAGACTGTTGGTCTAAGTGCAAGGTATTTAAGTTGAGATCTCTTGTTTCTTTGGATTCAGTCCAGGCTACGTTTGGTCTTGCTTGTCGGGTGTTTGCACGGGGAAGGCTGTTAAACTTGTTTGGATCCTCATCTTTGGAGATTTCCAGGAAACTCTGCAACTCTCTGTCTGCAGTAATCCCCAAAGAAAGTCGAGAGCGTCTAGAATTGGGGTTTCTGTATGAAGGGCTTTGAGGTCTCTGCTGCAAGAAGGGAAGAAATTCTTCAAGTCCTTTTTTGGCCAACATCTCCACATCATTTTCACTGCTGCTCCGCCCAAAGCTCCCAAGTTCTCCAGCTGCCCAGGACCGACGCTTCTCCTCCAGCTCCTTTTGCCTCTGCAGACTATGAAGTTCCTGGATCTCTCGTTCCCTATTTTCCTGACAAGTAAAAGCACATATATATGTCTCAGAGGACAGTGTCCTATGCATGAGAACAAGTGACACTCCTTTATCTTTCTCTTCATTTCCTCCCACCCAAGTTAGCTCCTACTGCTATCACCCTCCCCCAACCCCCCCCCCAACCACGAAATCACCATGGCAACCACAGCCCGCAACCCTTAACCCTATGGAGAGCAGTTCCCTGCATAACTAGTGCTGGAGACACATCAGGGTGGTCAGCATAAGAAAAAAACGCTCAAGTCCCTGCAGAGACCAAGAACGTGACCTATCAAACCCAAGTGGATGTCAACAAGTCCAGCCAAAGAGTCCCTGCTATCAGATGGAGAGCTTCAAGTCCCCACTAAGTTTAATGTTGGCAGTTTTATCAGGTGAGTAAACTTCTACCTGATCATTACATTCATATTTTAAGACAAAGTTGTCTGGTAAGCACACAGCCAATGTGTGCCTTCCATCCTCCCTTATTACAACTGCAATTGTTCCCCAGCAAGTGCAGTTTCTACGGGGTGCTACTTACCTCTGACTCAAACATTACCGGCAGGAAATTTTGTGAAAAGACATTACTTAGTTGCACATGAAAGAAAATAGAAAAGTTTGCACGATGCTTCCCAATCATTACTTAGACATCAACTGGTACCACTCAAGGACCATTAATCAATGCCTCGTTCCAGTTTTGGATCTCATATTCACTGTTGGCTTCAAAACCTGGCAACTACTGTACAGAAGTTGTCCGGGTCAGGCTGGGAATTTTGGCAGCTAGGCTGAGGGGTTTTGGTTCAGGAAGCCATAGAAAGAGGTAGTACATGTTTGAAAGACAACAGAGTAACACCTTTTTACTAGAACCATTAGCAGTGGATTACTGCAAATATCAACATTTTAACTGTCACCTCTAGGCCTCAGATTTAATCTAGCTGAACCTTTGGTTGAACTTTCCAGGTTATTTTCCGAAATTGAGAATCTAGTTTTCTAGAGCCAGTACAGCTGTAGCAAAAGAAAGAAGGGGGAGGGCTGGTCTTGACAGAGGATTCAAAAATTATATAATTTTCCAGCATGTTGTTAAATCTGTTCTGAGTAATGATACGTTGTTTTAAAAAACCACACCTATATTTGTCTGAAGCACTGGCTAGTTTGATCTTCCCCTTGTTGTGACAACAGAAGAGCTGCACAACTAGAAAAAGTTGCCTGAAAGCTGTCAGTAAACAAAAGCCTAATGCTGAAGCTCTTTTTGATGAATGGGTTAATCTACACCTCTTAAAGTGGATTTGAGACTACATTGGGCTCTGAAAGATAAGATGCATTAGAAACCTAAGAAACCCGAACAGCTAAGAAAGAAAAAAGAAAAAAACTTGCATTTCAGGAAAAATGTCTGTGGCAGAGAGCTTTCTTTCACAGGTATGGAATTACAGAATGAATTCTTGCCAACTGCTAAAGCTCAACTTTAAATATCCCACTGTGAAGAGAAATGGTTAAAAGTAGTTGGAGATATTACTATATTCCAGATTAGACACAGAACATTTTAACCTCACCCAAAAAACGTTTCAGGAGATTTTAACAAAATTAAAAATCTATCTTAAGCACACATAAACGTGTTAAAAAGTTGCAAAAATGTTTAAACATCTGAAATATATGCACATGGCCACTGTGTTATAAAGCCACCTTTTTAGACTGCTGGCTGTGCTGTCCACGCATCACGTTCATTTGTCAGAACTGCAATCTTTACTCTGAACTGTTCTGTTAATTTTGTAGGGACAGAAGTTAATCCCCACAAAATACCGAGTAAGCAAACCTTCTCTATGTTTGCAAATAAGAGACTAATGTGTTGGGTTTAGAGTGTAACTACTTACTATAGAGAGAGGAAGGAAAATCCCCATTGGACCTTGAAGTCATAGCTCTCCAACAACCACTTGTAATGCGTGACTCTAAATTAAATCCCCAATCCCAAATAATGGAACATATATGCATGAAGTCACTTCTCACTAAAATGTCTGCAATAGTTACCGCCACTTAGTTTTATATATTTCTATAATGTTCACACACGTGCATAACTACATGCTGTCTTTGGTGGTAAAGGCTAGGTAAGCTAATGGTACAACAACAGGCATATTAGCTGAACATTATGTCAGCTTGATACAAATCAAAATTTCTGAACTAAAGCTCTTACACAAACCGCTGTCAAATGCAGATTGCATAAGGCAGAAAAATAAAGAAATGTGTGGATCCATCTAATCCATGCTATTTATAAAGGCCTAGAAAATATTAGTAACAAGAAGCAGACTTTGCTGAACCAAAACTGTAACCAGTGCTGATACTGCTCCTTCATCTTAGTATACTCTTGAATTATTTGGGACCAGTTCAGGGCACTTCGCAAATGAACGGTCAACGCTGGGGATGAGGTATCTTGGTACTGCAGGCCTTTTCTGTTGAATTTCTTGAGTTTTCACCCACAAAAAGCATTTGAAAGAACAAAGTAGAATACACAGTCTTCACTTTACTCGGCAAAGTGTGTCTAGTCATGTAAAAGAGGCCAGTGGAGAGCCTGAACTAGTGTCGATTCAGGCCGGTACGTTCGTGTAATGAGGTGCCACATCTCAAGGCCTTTCCAGTGATCTGACATTACCAGTCCAGAGCCTGAACAGTGAGCACTAGTCAGGGAGTCTGCAACCTGCCTCGCTACTCAGCTCAGCAATCACCAGTCTCCTCATCAAAAAAGGAGGAAGGAGCCCACTTACAAGCAGGCCAGCAGACTACCCTGACGTACCATCTCAGTGGTGTAGTCTGCCTGCAGCAGAAGATGCAGAGCAGTGGGACTGCACACAGGGCCGGGCAGAACGACCATTTCCCACCTGGCTTCTGGCAAGCAGTGCCTACAAGAGGGCAGTCTGCTGTAGCCATTCGAGCAAATAGATCAAATACTTCAAGATATGAAATGTCCTTTAAGCAGAAAAAACAATTTCATTCATGTGAGTCAATACCTATTTCAAATGCATCTCCTTCAGTGCTCTTACCTTCACAGCCTTGTTGAATCTTATGCAGAAGTCCCTAAATATCTGGAAACATTCATCCAACTTCATAGTTTCTTTGTCTTCACAGAAAAAGTCAATGAGAGCATTTCCCTCCTTTTGTAATTCTCGTTTCTGATGTTCAAGCTCTTTTAGATGTCTTACAGCAAACTGTAGCAAAAACCATATATGGCATGAATCAGACAGAAAAATTAAAGTCACAACAGGTCATGTATATATTAGGAACTTACGAAATTCATGTTCCAACCTAGGAGCTGTTACAGAGCCCAGGAAATTAAAATTTTGAAGGAGAACTCCTACTAACAAAAGGAAACACTTCACTTCAGCAAAGTGAGTAAGGAAGGCCAGGAAAAATGGATGGTTCAAAATGTAAATTCTAGTGACTAGGATACAAACCAGGCAAAAGTTCAAAAGCCCTTGAACAAACTCAGAACTTTAATTTTTAAATGTGTAAAATCGAAGATTGTACTAGGACACTGACATACCACCTGGGAGCCCCTTGAAAACTCCACATGCCTTATTTTCCCATTTGCTCTGCAGCTTTCAACTAAGCATAAATGGATTACTTCCTCCTCACTTTTCCCCCCAAAAAACCATGTGGATAAATTCATGGATATACATCACAGAATCAACTCCTTCCTAAGTTGACCCTAGACCCCAATAAAAAAGGTTTTCATGCTAGAAAGGTAAGGAACAGCTGGAAATAGGTATATTTTAAGACATCCAGAAAACATCCCCTTGAAGCAGCACTTTGAATCATAAGTGTAGAGCTATACAGACAGGGTTGGGGTAGATTAGTAAAAAAAAAAAAGATTCAGTAGGAAGAGAATAAGGCGGTGGTTAGATTCTGAGCAGCAGAACTGCTTAAAACACTTTCAGCAGTAGCCTCTCTGTCTCCCCTATCTGCATCACCAGCCATTCACTCCCATCCTTGCACAATCCCAGACCTGAGACCATATGTGCCTCAGAGTTACCTGGGGAGAAAAGCTAAGCTTCAGACAGATCTCTTCTCTGACACTAACCCATGGTCACCTAAATACTTTTGATACTGCAGCACTGGGGTGGGAATAGGCAGCTGGAGGCACTGGTGACCATTTAAGCCAACCCTGCTCTCAGAAAGTTACTGGGAAAATTATTCTGGTAAGATAGGAACAAATCTTACCTGTTAGTCTCAAAAAAAAAAAACAACCCCAAAAGCAACCCAGAAAAAGTACCCAATAAAAAAAGCTGCATTGAAGATAAACTGGACAATTGATAAAAGCATACATAGAAAATAAGTTCCTCCCACATATTTCAGTAATTTATTCATGAGGATGAGACAATGAAAGCTGACTTTTAAATCAGCTTGGTTATCACCTGTAATTTAGAAACAAAAACCGGAAGTGCTTATGTAAGGTATGCATTTGTAAAATGATTTTTTCCCCAACATTTCTTTTGGAATGTGGCCTAAAGAAGGTTGTAGTGTTACATAAAACCAGCTATTAAATTAAAAAAAAAATCCCAAACATGTTAGAACATAACGTTAAAGAGTCTGGGTGCAATGGATAAAAGCCAACAATTCAAAGTGAATGAGGACTGGTATTTCAATCTTAACCCGCCCCCTTCTTCATCAACTTCTCATCTCCTGAAAAACTGAGGGACTATTAAGTACATTTGCAAGTTGAAAATCAGGGCGTGCTAAGCTCCATATCAACACCTGCTTTCTTACTTTTAATAATTATCTATAGCATGAAACAGAAAAATAATTTAATTGAAGTATAATACATGTTTCTCCAGGCATCACCATGCACTCAGAAAATACCAAGAACTCTGCTTCAAAGTTAAGTGCTATACACATTCATGTCTATAAAGTCACTGCAGTACCAAAAAAGGAAAGGAGAACCCACCCAGAAGTAATGGTATGGCTCAGAATAATACACTCTGTGCTAAGGGTAAATTAGTAGAGAAAACAGTCTCTTAACCTTCCAGCTTCTAACAGTAACTCTTCAGTCACCCAACAATCAGGATTCATATGCACAGCACAGCCTCAACTAAAACTGACACACTCCAGTATAACATAACATGTACACACTATATTTTGGGCAGCTGCAAAGTACAAAACCAGCAACCAACCCAAATTGTCTTATATTTTAACCTTCATCAGTTATTTCACAGCCATTAAACACGCTTGCCTAACAAGCCTTGGGCAATGTACACTCAACATCCCTCCCTGTAAAAACACAGTCCTTCCAACACTCTTACTTGACAAACAGCATGTAGTTGGAACACCTTTGTACAACTGATAGGGTAGACACATTAAAACAACGCTTCTGTTTATTAACATGTCCATACAAATTACATTCAGCTGAGGAATGCTCCTGTGTTCAGACGACAGTAACACATTAACACAGACTTCCTACAAACCTGGAGAAAGCCTTCCATCTGGTGAAAGAGTTTTGGGTCTCGCCGAATGCTGTCTTTAACAGATCTTGCCTTGAAAGACAGCGACTGGAGCTCTGCTTCCACGTTATCAATGGATAACCTAAAAATAGCATATACAGAGAATGTTTTTTGAGTGGGAGGGAGTTGCCTGCAGATTAGCCACCAAATGCTTCAAAAATGGATGTTTAACATGAGGTGCAACCTGGCTATCAAACAAGACCTGCCTGTTCAGGAAATCTTTCCAGAGTAGTCACCAAAATTTAGGAGAGAGATAAGCATATTTCTTCTTATTTGCAGTCTGAAAAGATTCCCATGGGGTGTGGTCTCACGATTAACTCCAGCCAGTTCTGCCCAACCTTACCATGAGAAAGGGTAATGCCGCCCTGCCTCTGACCAGGTGCTTCTTTTCTCTCCCTGCTGCCTGTGCTAGCACTCATTTTCTAGATGGCCAGCCATATCTGTGTACTGAAAATTAACCCAGGAAAAGGAAAAAAAACAATTTGCTTCCAGATGGATCGTTTGCTCAGTCCAGCTGACTACACGACTGTTTGAGCGCAGGAGCTGGCACAAAAAGCGGGTCACATGGGAATGTCAGCCAGGACTACCCATTTTGGCATCACGAAATTGCATGTTACGTTCTTCTAAGCAGTCCCAGCAATGCAGCCTACACAGTCTCAACCCAGCAGTTATTACATTGCATCCTTCTACCACGTACCAGCAGCAGAAGCTGCTCCTGCAGAGAGGTAACTCAGAAATTGAAGACCACAGGAAAGAGCTCTGATCTGATGTAATCTAAGCTTTACCCCGAGACACCCATGTTCCATACAACAGGAGCTCCCACCCAAATCTCTCAGTCACTTTGAGGGTAAATGCTTCTAAATCTATAGCATTTCCTTCACAAGAGAACTGAGCTTCGCCTAAGAACTGAAGCACTACAGTTTCCAAAACGATAAAAATTAACAACTCTACACATGCTCCTAACTAAGGTCATTTCACCAGTACTATGACTTTAAAATGAAGAATTTGTGGCAGACTGATTGAAGCGCACATGGCAGCGGGCGGTGACGGCATGCGTAAGTTTGTCAGTGCACATACAAATGAATATAATGTGTGCTGTTTTTTCTCTGCTTTCTTCATCTGCAAAGGTTAGTTCCCTGTTCTGGGCAGATCATGGGTGTTTTTGCAAGTAAGAAAAGCAGTAGAAGTTACAGGCTATATATTTCTGCCTGTGAAGGAAGAAGAGGATGGCCTACAAGTAAAGAAGGCAAGACAATAAAAAATAAAGAACATAATGGTAGTTGTTTTAACATGCTCTAATTGAGAAGATTTATGAGCAACTTGTACATGACAGTTGTCTCTAATAAAGATCTTTCTCATGACCAACAGTGAGACATGTATTTAATTTTGTTTCATTTTCCTGTACAGAGTGCATTCCCTGAATAGATTTCAGCATGAGTTACAACAGAAAATTTTCAGCATTAACAAATGTGATCAAAGAGCAAAGTGGTTAGAAAAAATATCACCAGATTTGGGATTCTGCCTGTTCCCCTGCTGTTTGCCAGGGGGCTTGGATGCCGAGGAGACCTACATTCCCCAGCAGGCCACGTGGCAGGCTGCCAAAAAGGTGTGTGGGTTGGATGGCAGAGAGCCACACAGGTGGTCCCTCAAAAATTTTCTGATTAACTCCACGGCCACTCCTTTCTTCAGAAGATTTGAGTCCTTTGCAGACATTACTTAACCCTGCATCAGATCTAAGAGATTGGATCCATTTTACAGCTAGGAAAAGAATGTAAATAGATTGCCCAAAGCTCAAGAGTAAGGAAGTAGCAAAACTGGGAACAGAACTCCAGTAACGCTGGAGTTTTAGATCACAATGTCTCAAAAAAGCAAGTACAGTTATGGAAGTACGAATCAGGTTCAGTTTAAAATTATGCAGCTAGAGACTCTAAGATGAAAACATTACAGCAATACAGAGCCTCAAACCCTTCAGATTTTCCATCCAAGACAGAAACGGAGAAGCAAACGAAATATCAAAAAGCATCTAAAAGAAGCCAGGGCCGGTACCTGTACCTGGTGCTGGATTTGGAAAAGTATTGCAGCCGGCTAAGAGACGGATGAAAATTGGTTTAAGGGAAAACATTAACATGCTTTTAGTTCAGTCCCTTAAAAGTAACATACATGCACGTGTATTTTAAAGAGACATAACTACTGAAAACCTATGGATCATGTCGTAAAGAACCTCACACCCGAAGGCACATTGCAGGCATACTTCTGCTAGCAAATGGAAATGAAGCCCTCAGAGCTACAGTAAACATTTGTAAAGATCTCAGGTTTTGTGCCAAGACTTCTCTGAATAAGCCTTATTGCTTCACAAATCAGAAAATTCCAAGTCACAGTCTAACCATAAGTTCTTGGTTTTCTTTTGACTCACCTGGCAGCATCATGAACATCTCTAATTTTTTCTGAGAAGTTGAGAAGAGCAGCATCTTTCTTTTGGGCTTCCTGAAACAAACAGAACAAAACCAAAACACACACAATCCATTAACATTCCACCACCACCACCATGCCAAAGTCCTTAAGTCCAGCAGTCCTAAAGCCTCTGGGAGAGCACTTCAAGGTTTCTCTCCTGCACTGTTTTTCTTCCTGTTCAATCCTAACACAATTGACTGGAGGATACCCCCTAACGAAAGCCAGGGATCAGAACTGGAAACTTTAAACAACAGCTTCCATTTTGCAGTGTACAATAATAGCTGCTTCTGCCAGTGAACACAAGCCACATATATTAATAGGGAATGTCAGGGAAAGAACAATTTACTGATGCCCATTGTTCAAACAGATACGATGTTTCCTGCACAAACATCATTTAATACCCTATTGTTAGCTGACTGGAAATCTGTTAAGCCAGTTTGTACACAGATGACCGAAGTCATATATAGAAGCACTTAAATTCTCTCCCTTCTAAAATCAAGAAGTTTGAAGGGAAGGAAAAATAACTTGGAAAAAAATCTGCAGCAGCTTTAAAAATACATGTCAGTCACTGAGGAAGAAAAAAGATCTCTACCAAAAAAGCTACTCAAAAGATTCAACAGGAAGACTGAAAGAATATTTATCCAAATAAGTCACTGCCACAGTATAATAATTCAGGACAATAAGAGAAAATCTACAATGAGGAAGTTAGATGAAGGCAAGCTTTTAGATGATATAAAAAACTTAAGTGTTTCATGGGTTTCTGGATAAGATGACCAGACATAGGTGAATTGGTGAATTTTGTGGCAGGAGAAGAAAGGTGAAGATTAGGATCAAAGCTGTAAAAAAAGGTGCTTTTTCTGAAGCACATGCCCCTTCTGCTGTCTATCATCTATGGCTCTACATGTGTAGCAGTAGCTTATATGAGCAAAATAGTTTTTCTGTACCAGAGCAACAAAATGCAGCAGACTCATCCCAGGTTTGTTTGCTTTTGTGTCCGCCAGCTTGAGCAGTGACGACAATTTAAATCCAACAGCATTGCCAGCATAACCTCCCTAAAAAGAAATGAGCAAACAGCTGAGGCATGACATCGATGGACTGCGATACTAACAAAGAAGTTTGGTCAAACAGCCGTCTCCATCCTGGATGTCACTTACCGCATTCATAATATTCCCAGCCTGAAGGACCAAGTGCAATATGGAATGCAGTTCCTCACAAGTCATTAACTCTGTAAGGAACAAGAAAATTGCTGTCTAACAATTGTTTGTTTAGAAATACACAGTCAGTTACCAAACTCTGCTTCATCTCAAGCTTTTAAAGGTGAAAATTTTTATTTTAACAGGAAACTACAACAGACTGAAAAGGCAGTGGGAAAAAAATGGTACCATATAATTAAAATTCACAAACACAGTTGACGAACCTGAAGTATATGTTCAGACTTTAGCTTAGCAAGTGTAGTACTTCCCAGGCAACCCCCAGCAGCTAACAAATCCTGCCCAACCCTGCAGTGTGCAAAGTGTCTCATGGAAGTGGTTAAGTATCCTCACCACCTACTAATTCCAGTGTGAGGCAAATGTTCTGCACCCTGCAGGTTCCATTTGCCATCTGTCGGGATTGGGCTTTTGAACAGTCACTCTTTTTTTGGGAGCCTTAGCCATCAGGCCTGAAAAGATAACAGGCAATATTTAAATTTTCCTTGCTTATCCCACTCCCGCTATGAATCATCATTTTATTTCTGTATGTTCACCAACTCAGAGCAGCATTTATTTTACTTTAGTCACATCAAAGATGATTTAGCACAAAGTTATATTCAGTGTGATGCAAAGAGCCAAATGGAATAAAACTGCTTTTTAAGGCTTTTCCATCACAGAAATCTGTTTTGTACATACTTCAATTTTTTGTAAAATGTATAGTATTTGAATTCATATACCTTTTCGCCCAGCCACACATGAACACAAAAAAAATGCATGTGCTTAAAAGTTACCAGAGGGATTACCTTAGGAATAAGATAAGATTCAGAACTGTAAAAAGTTAATAAATGAGCTTTACATGAGTGGCACAGCAAACTAAGTCACTCCAAATTTGCAAGCGCCCATATGGCAAAACAAATAAGATGAGTTGGTTTTAACATAAGGTACTATATTTTACACTGATGAATATAATAAAAAGTGGAATCCTTTTGATTGCAGTGTAAATGCTATTAAAAACTATTTTGCTTCAAATTTCACATTCTATAATTTACCCTGCATTTAACTGCTCAACATAATACACTAATCTACCATTAGCATTACCAAGCAGACAGACTTTGTATCTTTGGATTTCAGTATCAAGCAGCCTAAAAACATAGAACTAATTAAATAACCTTTGATCTAACAAGCTATAGGTGAGGAAGCAGGAGGGAGAAAGAGGAGACAATACAAAAGAGAATACCAAACTTCCTAAGGCCAAGAGGAGAGGGCAGCTTCTAAAGATTTTGCATATTAATAGCCTGTTCAGCATCACTATGAGATACCTCCATTGGCAGGCTAGACAAGAATCCATCAGGCTATTTAGACCATCCTAACCCTTAGTGATTATCAGCATTAGAATTTAAGTAAATATTCTCTCAGCTTAATTACAAGGAAAGAAACGTAGGAGATAGGAATAGAAAAGTAGACATAATTCCTAAACAACTTCAGGCTATCAACAAACCCTACAGCGAAAAGACCAAATGAAGAAGAGCACATGACACAAGTGGACTGAAAACAGGGAAGCTCAGTCAGTCTGATTTGCATGACTGGCCTGATGCAGAAGCTGGAGACCAAAGCGTCTCCTCTGGAGGGAATAAATTCATCAGTTCACAGATGTCCTGTGTGAAGGACATGAAGGACAAGAGTGCGCGGCTGCTTTTATACGTAACATATTCCCTCACATGTGTCTGTTGCTCAAAATACAAAAAACAATGATTTGAAAGAGATCCCAATAAATGGCCAAACTCAAACCTCAGCCTAAGCTAAGGCACATTTTTCTGAGTCAAGGAGGACTAGTTCAATCCCTACTGGTGGGGAAAAACATACCAGACTTTTCTTCCTTTCCTTTTACTAAAAATGACTATCCTAAGCATTGGTGATCATAGTTGGATATTTGTACTTCTGTGCCTTTTTATACCACTAGAAGCAGTCTAAACAGTGCTCTAATAGCCTGTCAAAAAATTTGTCAGCATGGAATAGGAATTTCATATTAAGGAAGAGGACAAATAGGCATTCAAGGCATTTGAAAAAGTCAGCATTCATGTTTAACTGAAACCAGGAAATGAATTATTTTCTTGCAGACTAGAAGACACCAGATTACCTTACAATTAACTAGCTTCAGCATTTCAAAACTTATGAAATGTAGAGAAACAGAGAACAAAAACAGAAAACAAAGGAATAGCAATACTATTAAGTCTCGACAATAAAGATTTTAGCCCAACAATACTGCCACCTCAAAAGGCAACAGCATATAGAGAAATTTGGAAACTATACAGTGATTTTCTCTATGGATCTCTGAAAGAGTGAGCAGAGAGTGGTAACAACCACATTCAGTCAAAGAGACAGTGATGCATGAATGAGCAAACTGTACTCAGAGGACGATTTATCCTAATTCGGCCTTTGCTTCTGTTCGTTTCAATACACTGCTTGTAGGTTTTGGTCATGAACCCATTGCTAGGGTGTCCAAATCTCCAGATTTTTCATTTTGGAAGCAAAGATTCACCAGGCACACCCTGATGGCATTTGTCAGAGGGGAGTTAGCTTACTTTTAATAGCTAAAGTACCTGAAATTCAAGCTCTAGTCTTCATAATGCAGACTAATTAACATGCTAACAAAAACAAGAGTATTATGCATGTCCCAACATGCTTAATTACCTTTTGTTGCCCGTCTTATAATTTTCATGTCATCCTGTAGAGAAGCACAGGAGGGTGAGAACTCCCTTTCTAACACCATGGCTTCAATCCTAAGAGCATAACTGCAGCACACAAACAAACAGGTTTAGAACTGACAGTCAGAAGAGAACATTTATCATAAACAGAATAAACCTTCTATCTCCTTACTTTGGCACCTGGATTAGTAAATACATGAAGGAATCAGCTTGAGATAGTTTTGATACATCTCCATCAAAGGCTTTTAATTTCTTTACCTAGAAAAGAGAAAAAAACACTAGCAAATAATTTTATCAAAGATCAAGATTAACTTGACTTCAGAAGGAAACACCTTGAAAATTTAACAGGAGGCATTAAACAGTCCACTCAGTGACTAACTGAATGGCTTCACTGTCCAAGCTCTTGTAATTTGCACATACCCCGGTCACAAAAAAAAAAAAAAAAAAAAAAAGAAAACCACAGTAACATCACTCTTCTCCCAAAAATCTAGCTACATTGTCCAGCATAAAAAATACAACGCCATCGCTCTGACTGGTGATTCTGATTTCTGATCAATTATTTCTGAATTCCGCTTCATTGTTCTGATTTCTGATCAGTGATTGCTCTCATCACTGTGTTTAGGATGCTGCTGTTCCAGTTTCCCCAGGGGAACTGGCTCTTTTCTTTCTAACTGGTCCATTTGCGTTCTCTAGCTGTTTGCCCAGAAAACGGCTGCTTAAGTGATAAACTGAAAAATGGTCCTCAGCTCTTCAACAACAGTGATATACACTTGAGCATACCTTCAAGTTAACTGTGTTCAGCATTTCCAGCACAGGACTGCCTAGATCTCTTCGGCACGATGCAGATAAGGTTTAAGTTACAGGTTTTTTTCCAGATACTTATTTCAACGATTTCTTCTAAAACTCTCTTAAAGGGTAAACTTCATGCTCTCGAGTTTGTATCTTTTTTCATTCATAGAACATATTTTAAAAATAAATGCAATTTTGCATTTTAAGTTATTTGTTGTCAGTACTCTGAGAACACCATTTACATGCAAAGGAAATATCACTGCATTAATTTTGCCCATCTTCCTTCCCAGCTCCACCAAAATCCATACATTTGCATGATCTGGAAGCCACTGATCTGCCCACATACTTACTATTTGTTTATAACAGAAGAACTGGAAAATACATGCACATATGTTTAAGTGTAACTGGAATTTCTTCCACATCTTCCAACACAGCAACTGTGTCCAAAAGCAGAGCTCACTCTCAATTACACTATTTCTTCATTCGACCAACAAAGTTCACACCCATTATCAACTGTATGTTTCCACTGATTTACACACCAGCTCATCATCCTTCCTTTTTATAAGAATACACTTAAAGCCCATTCACAGCCACATTTACACAGACGGTCTTCAGTTTTAGAAAGCATATTAAGCTCACCTGGAGAGAGGCACTCTACATCAGGCCATCAACAGTTATCAAGTTGCCATGATTCAGCAAGACATCCATAGCTTTTCTAAAGCATCAGGCTCCAAATTAATCACTGAAGCTATTTTTCTGCTTTCACAGTAAAAAAGTAACTGATTTGCAGTGGAAGACAACATAATCTATGCTAAATCAGGGATTTAAAATAAATTCTGGACTATCAGTAGAAAAGGATTCTTTTAACAGCTTTGTTCTGTCTTATTGCTATTCTTTTTCCACATCATAAAAAAAAAAAAAGAAATGTTGAGAACACATTAAGAAAAAGAAAACAGAAATTACAAATTAAAAGCAGAATAGAAAAAACTTCATTTTCAAATAATAATAATAAACCAACCAACCAACCAATTCCAAACAAAACAAAACACCAATAAAAACTTATGACCAAGAAAGAGAATTCCAATCAAAGAACAATTTTTATTCAGGCTATCTAACTCCATTTCCTAACACCAGCTGCGTCCCCTCCTCCCGTCCATTTAACTCAAGACAGTCAGACAAAAGCGCCTTCTAAAGAAAAACAACATACCCATTTTTTTGAGGCCTGAGAAAACTCCTAATTTACAGTCATTCAAGAAGTCTGCCAACAAAAAACAGGAAAGACCAGACTTGACATTCCTGATGTTTCTAAGAAGGTGTTAAAGGAGCACGAAACAAAACCAAAATAAACACTTTTTCCTACATCATGAAGTGGGGAGTGGGAGACATCTACTATCTCAGTTAGTCTTTGCAGGTGTTCTTTAACCTAGCAAAAAATAGTGGTCTGCAACCTAAACAACAAAAATTACAAATTTTCCAACCTTGTTTTAGTGTGCTGCAAATATCAAAGTTTCCCTGAAGAGGATACAGGCATTCAGATTTGGGGTGGGGGGAGAGGGAGAAAAAAAGAAAAGCAGCCCACCAAAAAAGCCACCCCAAATCACCAAAATCAAGATCATATAAACCACAGGCAATTATAGCAAGATGCAATTTTAAGATTTAAATGCACAAAAGTGAGCAACAAGAGAGCCTGAGATACAGGAATTTTAACTTGCTCATGATACCTCTACTATATTTAAATATACTTTTGACAGTGAGTGGCAATGAATATTATCTATGTGGAACGTTAATTTTATAGAGACTAGATGAAATTGATGAAATTCTCTTTCTTCTACCATATCATATTAGGAAAGATGCCTGGAGTGGTACAAGGGAGTACTAAATCCTAGATTTCATCCACAGGAGGAACTTTCCTATACAGGCATAACAAAAGGCATTGATGAGGCTGCCTTCTGAGGGGTAGGACGGGGTGTGAATGTCAAAATGTAAAAAGCTTTGGGCAGTAGTCAACCCAAAAGACAGTCTGTGTAATCAGCCTTAAAACAAGGATGTGCTCACTGCCTGGTTACACTTTTTCCAGCCCACATCAGCCATCTTAACCCCCACTGTCTTTGCCTCAGATGTCCAAAACTACCTTTATAAGAAGCGGCAAAGAAGCTCACCTGACAAGCCCCAAACCCAAGCAAAGTGGAGCATAGTGATCCATTCCACAAAAAGATAAAACAGAAACATAGAAGAGCTGTAAGGTCCTTTTCATCCTGGAATTCAGCATAGAATATCCTGATTCTCCATACGTGTCCAAGTTTTCTACACAGGAGACTAAGCCTTCTGTTAACTTGGCCTTAAAACAGTAAATAGTCTGGGAAATAGCTAAGGTAAACTTAGGACAACAATTTATTTTGCATTGCCTCTTTATTACAAATTTCATAATTGTAAAAGATCAGTTATCTAACCATGAAGCAGGAAAAAAAAAAAAGTTCTTTGACTTAATTGACACTACCTATAAATTAAAAGAACAGCTTCTTAACCCCAGAGCTAAAAATTACTAAAACACATTTTGGGTGGTTGTCCCTAAGCATTCCAAGGGAGGCTACTCAAAAGCCCATGGGATCGGCCTCTTCTGTCTATAGCCATGTTGACCAAGTCTTCCAAAAAGAACTGAGATTCTCTGATGGCCCCTAGAAGTGTGAGTCAAATTCAAATACTAAATGCAGCCAGGAACTGCAAAGAAACTATGGGGATTGACCACAACGTTCACTATTAATCATGTTAACAGATATAGCAGATAGGTTTATAGAAGATCTGGTTGACAAGAAGCTCAACATAACCTGGCAATGTGCGCTCACAGCCCAGAAAGCTAACCATGGTCATCCTGGGCTGCATCAAGAGCAGCGTGGCCAGCAGGTCGAGGGAAGGGATTCTCCCCCTCTGCTCTGCTCTCAGGAGACCCCCCTGCAGTGCTGGGTCCAGCTCTGGGGCCCCAGCATCAGAAGGACACGGACCTGCTCGAGCAGGTCCAGAGGAGGGACACGAAGATGCTCGGGGGGCTGGAGCAGCTCCCCTGGGAGGCTGAACCCCCCCAACTCTCCCCTGAGAGAGTTGGGGGGGTTCAGCCTGGAGAAGAGAAGGCTCCGGGGAGACCTTACAGTGGCCTCCCAGGGCTTAAAGGGGGGACAGGAAAGGTGTGGAGGGACTCTCTGTCAGGGAATGTAGGGATGGGATGAGAGGTAATGACTTTAAACTGAAAGAGGGTAGATTTATATTAGATCTAAGGAAGACGGTGGTGAGGCGCTGGCCCAGGGTGCCCAGAGCAGCTGTGGGTGCCCCCTCCCTGGAAGGGTTCAAGGCCAGGTTGGACGGGGCTGGGAGCCCCCTGGGCTGGGGGAAGGGGGCCTTGCCCGGGGCAGGGGGGTTGGAACCAGATGGTCTTTAAGGTCCCTTCCAACACAAACCGTTCTACGATTCCATTACTTAGTCTGAGAACACAAAAGAGCTAAAAAATATGGTTTATTTCAAAATCACAATGAATAACTCTATCAGTTCTGGTCTTGACCTCCTCTCTTCAACAACAAAATTTTTTTCCAGAACAGTATGCAGCCACATACCAAGATATGGCAGTGTAATGTAAAAATGCAAGAGAGAATAATTACATTGTATGCTCAGTTCTGTATTACTCAAATTGGGCGCAGAGCTACTAATTTAATTTTTCATTGTATTTGTATATGGAATATGCATTTGCACTGTCCATACATGCCCATGCACACTAAATTAGATTTTAGATACAGAAGGATCTCACATATATAATTTGCTTCATTTTAAAAACAGTTATGAAACAGAGAAAGCCTAATCTTTGATTTGTGAACAATTGGAATACATACAAAAACTCAAGTTTTCAGTCATTTTTGAGCTACCAGTAGCACTTATTTACAACTAGTGGGATTTTACTTTACAGCATAAAACAGGTATGTTGCACTCCTATGCAGGATCTTTGAAGAAGAGTATAAATTAGTACACCACTCATCTCATATATGCTTGTAACTAAGTATTTCCCCACAATCCAATCAAATAAGTCAAATATTCCCCACATTACAAATAAATAAATAAAGCCAAGTACAATAGTCCAGAGGAGTAGACATTTTCTCCGGTTTTGGTTGGTTTTTGTTTTGTTTTATATATTTTTTAGTATTTCTATACCATTGCAAACATTCAGGGCGCTAAAGAAAAACTGAGTTAAAAATACCAAAACCCCAAAAGGCATTGCATTGGAATCCAACTCCAAGGGCACGTGGGAAAGCAGCTAATGTATTAGGTGGGGAGGCACCATGGGGCACATGCCAGGCAGTGGCAAACCTCTGTCAGCAAATGACAGAAAAAAAAGAAGAAGAACCTGCAGCTATCATAATGGGTGAAAAAGGAAGCAGGAGATGAAAGCTATGAGGGTCAGTCAGCCACATACAGCACTGGCTGAGGAAAGGAGGGGGCAGTTAACTACACAAACATGGCTTGAAAAGGGTAGAGCTGACAGAAACAATTCCAGTAAAGCAGGGGATAGATAACTAGGGTTTTAAAACAGAGTATATGAGCAAAGGACAAGATTGAGACATTACAAAGGAAGTTAAGACATTGTGTTGATAACCTGGGTGTGCATGTGTGTGGGTGAGCTGATTAGCAGTGTGATATGCTCTCTTCTGTATGTATTTAAAGTACAAATTCTGGCTATTCTACCTCGTTAAACACTGGACTGTCTCAACTTTTACCAGTCTGGGCCTGTTGAAGAGTGCAATGATATGCACATAAAAGCAGCTAAAAGCTTCTCCACTGCTGTGGTCAGGATGACAGCAAATGACAACATTTTAACAAGATATTGTTAAGAAACAGCTAGGAATCTTTTCAGAAGTGATATAGCAGAGAAGGCCATTGCTTCGGTCAAGACAAAGGCTCCCTGGAAAAAACCACGAGCTGCAAAAGGGATAAAGCAGAGGAGATTCCAAATAGGCATTTCTTCCTCTTACAAAACTGCTAGCCACAGTAAGGCACAAACAGCAGGACTTATAACAAGGCTTACACAAAATCAGTGATCTTATCTTGCTTGTTAATGTATTGAGAATTTTTATAACTTTTCTTGGTCTTTTTTTTAACCACTGTATGACGGCTAGGCTGGTGCCACACCCACAGCCCTGAACAAAACATCCAGTAGAACCTTGCCACAAGCTCCAGGTTTGCCAGCTTCAAGAACTTGTCAAGTTTTTCAAAATAAACATTTGAAAATACCCAAAAGTTTTCAGTTTGACAGAAGACTTCACAGCTGTGCCAATATTTCAATAATGGTCTTATTTCATTTGAGAAAAGCATCCAGCAAAGAGCCAGTATTTGCCATATATACACAGAAATCCTCACAGCTGTCATAGCTGTTGGGATTTTTAATAGAAAACAGCTAGAAAATTACTAGTACTGACACCTAGTTCTGCGTGTAAACAGAGTTGCCACATTACAGTACTGCAAAAAGAAAGAATAATTTTAAAAACAAAAGATGTTAAAGATGTTAAATGTATTTGTTAGCCCAAGTACTTAGCCTCCATTGTCAAAAAGCTGTTCCATCTCAGAGACACTGGAACATCCATCAGGTACCTGAGATAATATGGACTGAAATGATGTAAAATATGTCACATACGTCAAACTGGTGACCAGGGAAACATTCAAGTAATGTGACTATACATCACAACACTTCTAAGATAAGATAAGATAGGAGTATAAAGCCAGTGTTTACTCACAATAGATAAACTGTAAAGGTTGTTGGTAAAAAAGAAGAAACGTGATGTCCAGAGTTCCCCTTTCAACAGCTATGACCAGGAATGGTGTTCCTCTCTCCCTCCTTTCTCTTTTACAGACTAAGGGTTTATGGTACCATATAAAAGTAGTAGACGTCTCTAAACACAGTTATTGGGGTGGAGCACCTGCCTGGCAGGGGGTACTTGGCTCTCATTCCAACCTGCAAGACAACTGTGCTACTGGGAAATATGACTCTCAATACCTGAGCTGCTGAAAAGAAGAGTATGCAAAGAGAAACTGCAGAAGTCCACCCATGGTTACACCAAGACAGTTAGCACTAGTGACTAAATAACAACTAACCTTTTAGGCTGACTGCTTAAGTCTCTGCTCAGAGTAATTCTCAACCCCTACAATAACAAAGCAGGTCTTTAGGAGAATGGGAAGTATCTGTGGGCAATCCCAGGGAACCCTTGCTGAGAAGGGCTACAACATTCTGCAGGGACAGGCCAATGTGATGACACCTTGCCAAAGCTATCTCATGTGATATGGCAACCAGATCAAAAAGAAATTAGGGACTATTAAACAGAATAGGGAACAGCAGAACAAATAACACCACTTCATCCAATACCTCTAGTGATTTTGGATTATTTGTATGTGGAGAGGGCCTGTATGGTTGTGATGGCTTCCCCTTAGCAAACGATAAATCACTATTCCAGGAGACAGGTAATCAGACTAGGGTGCAGATAATGAACTAACAAAAAAGAAGGGGACATACAAGGAGAACAGTGAACATACATATTTAGGGAAAAAAGTGCTGAGAAAGCCAAACGACAACAGCTCTAAGGCTCCTAAAGAGATCAAAATTTTTAACTGACTATACTAACATTTTAGGAGCCAAGGTAGTAAACGAGTTATTGGACCCACTCATTCTTTGAACACTTGAAGCATGAGGACATGAAGGCACTGACACATTCTTCCATACCAGCAGAAGCATCAGTCCCTCACACTCAGGATATTCTCCCTGTCCTGCCCCTCCACCCCACCTCTCACAAGAAAAACTCCCAAGAAGTTAAACAATTACAGGGAGAATAACAAAGGGAAAGGGGGTCTTTCCTTTTCTCCTGATGGTGAGCAATGAGATCTCTGAAGCATGGAACTAATTAAATACATACAAATACCTTGCACACTTGAAACAAGCCTCTCTACAGCCTTCCCTTGGGAACAGCAACAAATCTAATGTCTAATGCCCCTTAATTTCTAATACTCCTCCGCACCATAAAATTTCTATTAATTTCTCAAGCGTCTTCTTAAAAGCACTTCTTAAGTGCTCCGGCCCCACTACCCTGAGGGGCAGGCCTGCTGTCAAGTCATCTACTAGGAAATAAATACACCTTTTCACTCTTAGCAGTACCTAGGGGATATCTAAAGCATCTAGCTGAGTATTGCAGGTAGAATTCTGATAAAATTCAACAACTTACATTACAATTCTAGTCGAATTACTACATTTATATCACATAAGAGTATGCTATTAGAAAGATTTCTACTTGTAAAATAACAACCAGAAAGATGAAGAAAAAAATACCTTTCTTTCAGTCTAATTTGCTGAATATACACAAAGTTAACTAGGAGTCACTTTCTTTTAAGTTAGTCCTTTACTGTTCTCCTCTGACTCTTTCGGAGGAAGGAGATAAATTCTGTTTAAATACAGGAATATGTACTCAAAATCAAACAAAGAGGGAGGAAGGAGTAGTTTTGAGCTCCCAGAATTACTGCCACCTCATTTTTTTCAGATTAATTACATTTCAACTTGTTGATATTCCCCAACTCTAAAAAATATGTTAATCAAATATTACAACATAACACAGTTTTTACAAGATTCTCTGCGAAAGAGCACAATTTAGGGTCATGTATTTGACAGCAAAATAATATGTATTTTGCTGTTGACTGGATCTGAGATTTGCTGCTGCACAGAGGAAACAGAATGCTTTGACAGTATGACCTTGAAGTGGTAAAGTGTGTGAGTTGAGGTTGAGCTCTATGTGGACCTTAACTAGCAATTTCCCAGGTTTCAGCCATCACTTTGATGTGAAGCACTCGAGCAATTCTAATGCTATTTTTTTCAAGTCTGTGGTATACATTTCTCTCAAGTACATACAAATTGGTCCGTGCAAACACATGAGCAGACAAGGAACTGTGCATCATTAAGCAGGGCTCCCAGGTCAGTCCATGAAGTTTCACCTCTTTAATCATGTGAATGGACTTGAAGGTTGGGACTGAGAGGGGAGAAAGCAGCACTTGCATGTGGGCCGTATGGTGAGCAGAGAGACATTGCAGAAGGTGCTGCTGGTAATTCTGTGCCTTCTAACATGTCTCCTTTGGAGCACTAAGCCATGTTAGCAAATTCCATGGGTGCTGCATGGCGGAGCAGCTTTTCTGCCCTGTTGGAACCCAGTGACCTGGGTCCAGGAGCAGGGAGATCCCAGATGTACACGCAGGCAGCAAACCAGAAGGGAGAAGAGACAGTAGTAGCATAGGGCTACCAATACTCAACTAGCAGGCACTGCAACGGGAAAGCACGAGGCAGGTGCCAAAGAAGTGAAATGTAATTTGTTTGCATTAGGATATACTTTCATTCTGAGTTTTCTAGCCCGCCCAAAGCAGAGTTATCTGCACATAGGAGGGTTCCAGGTCTTGCTAAAACGTTTATGGGACAAAAGGGACATCGGATAAACAAAAATACCTTATCGCTACTTTCATTAAGAAGCACCTTAAAAGTAAGTAAAATTACTTGATGTGAAGGGAATGACTACACTGCAACTTCAATGCCACATGTCAAATGAAGATTAAACCTTTGCACTCAGTGGTTTCCCATCCCCCATCCTCAGGAAGGCTTTGGGACTCCTCTTTCACAGACCTGTCTATTGGAATCCCAGTCAGTAGAACTCTAGAAAACAAGAAGTTCCATCTAAAACCATTATTTACCTCCTCCGCTTCTGGTAATAATTTAAGAAATTCATGCAGCAGTTCAGAACCATAGGGCTCACTTCTTCCATGATAAATATCTTCAATGATGGATTCAGCAGACCTTGAAAAAACAATTGAGCATACACATTTCTAACACTTACAAGGTAAATAGTTACACAAATTGAAACAAACCATGCCTGGGCTACTCAAAGGAATTATAATGAGGTTATGTATCAGTGTCCACAGCAGCATTGTTCTAACACCACTTTCAGTGATGCCTTTACTGAAGGGTAACACTATCAGTGAATAAAGATAGCATTGAAAGAGCTTGCTCTTAAAAAAAGCCCTCACCTCACCCCTTTCTATTAATTATTTATAAAGAAAGGAAGCCAGGGAAAAGCAGCTCTCATACAGTATTACATGAGGTATAAGGGCTTCCCTTAACTATACCTGAAAACTCACTTCAGCTGGTTAACAGTTCTAAATTCTAAATGTTTGATGCTAAGTCATAATAGCACTCAAAATTAAACATATTAGAAAATAAAGTTATTTATGACAAACCTGTACAGAACTGTAAACTCCACGAGGAACTGAGTACAATATACAATACATTTGATGAGAACTACACAGAATTTCACACATCTGTAGCCTGCACTAGCTGCATAGAAAAATCAAATCTTACTTTTTGAACTGTTTGAGAAATATCCCAATGTTCATGCTTCTTTTTGCATCCAAAATGGAAACCTGAGAGAGAAAGCAAGAGAGATTAATCTACCAATATCTAAGAAAATAGCACATGCTATTGTATGTAATGCAGATATCATTTCTTAAATTGCTACAGACAATAGTTTGCAGCTGCCACCAAAACACACACCAAATTAATATGGAGGGTCACTTCTTATCCATAAAGACGTGTATTACAGAACTAGTTTTTACCAGGGAAATGCACAGCACACCCACAACACCTTTTTCCAAGTGAAGCGAAAGAAAACCATAGCAACATTTATAGAAGGAAGGAATAAGTTATATTTCATTACAAAGTAAAAACATTCTTCTTGCTTATTTCATAATGCTACATCTACAAAATGTTGCTTACCAAGTATTACATTGTACTGCACTTGAAGGCCTCACAGTTAGTGAACAACACACTTCAAAATGCACGCATTTCAGAGGTTTTGTAACAAATGTGAGGATGGGCTTTCTAAGCAGAGGTCAGTATGCACTACTGATTTCGTTCACGCAAACTAACAGCCGTGCTGATCCACAGAAAGATAAGTAAGTCAATCTTGAAACAAAACCTGAGACAGGTAATGCTCAAATCTGTATGTTTTATCTAGAAGCAAACAGAAACCCATAATAAAATAATAGTCTCCCCTTGCTTTATATTTTAAAGTTGATTTGCTATATCATCTTATGTGTACAATTCTGAAGATTAAGGAGAGAAAAAAAAGTAACCTTTTCTCCCTAATTCATTTTTTATTTTTAATTGGTTTTATGATAGTTTTTCTTCCTGTAACAGCATACAAGGTCAAACCTGAGATGTTTGCCCTGTTTTAGCGAATTGTGTCCTTAAGGTTAAAATTCTACCACAGCTATTTTGGTGATAACAGTGACAAAAGTCATGAGATTTACAAGGACAAGAGAATTGCTTCACGTTAACAGTGTCACCCGACCGCTACAACAAAACAACTCAGTACACACAGATGTTTAAGACTGCTGTTGGACTCACATGATGTTTGAGGTTTTGACAACTGGAAAGGTGTTCTGGCCTCTGTGACAGTGCATGAATTAGAAATGCATATATAAATGCAATGCTGGCATCATCACAAAATTGAATTAGCCTGCAATCGGCTGGTGACAGTGAAAATACGGGTATGATTAATGTGCTACCCGCAACATACACCCAGGAGACAGCCTCCTCATCTGCTGAAAAGAGTGAATCAAGTTAAAAAGTTTTCTGAAATTTTGGAATTTCCTCTCTTCTGATACCAGCAAAGACTAGAAAACACAGGAAATATCAGCATATTAGTTTTAATTAGACGATTGCTAGCCTGAAGCCCTTCAGTTTTAGCATATGCAAAGATAAGAGGATGGGCTGTGGTTTATTCTCCTGTTATCTTAGGAGTTGAGAGGCCCCCAACAGATCATTAAGGGAAAGCCCCTTAACATAGGACAGGTTCAACTATCTCTCCCCCTGCAGTATCTAATCCTTCTCAAATGTTTTACTGCAGGGACCTCTCACTGACCTCTCAAACTGCAGCTCCAGCCTCCAATTGCTCTAGTCACTTGTAATTCTGATTCCTCTGTACTAGTTGAAGCCTACAAGCTTTGCCGTCGTGATTTGGCTTTTGGTTTGTTGGGGGTTTTTAAAGCATATTCACAGTTAACCTTCTGTACATATTATTTTCAGTCACAGTCGGCAACTGTTACAATAAGACTGACCGTCAGCTGGGTAAACCTGTGGTTTCCATGGCACAACTCAGATTTACAGTACAACCTCAAACAAAACTAGAGAAGTGTTTTTAACATCTTCCCTTGAAGAAAAACAACAGATGGCAACATATACAACTGCATTTGCCTTATCAGCACAACACTAAAATGTCATAGTTGTTCTGAAATACAAGGATTTTATACCTGCTTCTTGCTCTGTATATGACTGTACTCTATTTTTTCTCTGATTTCTTATTCAAGCACACAATCCAAACATATGGCTCCAGTTTTGGTCACTCTGCTTGGTGTCCACTTCCAGATTATCAGAAGTGTTTGAAAAAAGCTGTCATTACTTAACTACCTTCAAGGAGTTTCCAGATGGAAGCGCAAGGAGAAGAGGGGTACCTAGCAGATACTCCTTGAATACAAGCTCCTACTCTTTGCACACAAATACTGTAACTTCCCTCTCACATTCAGCTGCATATTACATTCATAATCTTAGCCTCAACATCTGTTCGTAATGTCTACTCTTCTTCCCCACTGAGCTTTCATTCCATTTTGTCCTTGCAGAAAGCTGTTTGCATATGCCTTCCTACCAAGCTGTTGCTTTTTACCCTTTAAACATTACCCCAGCTTTTTATAAATTCTGCTCAGTCTTCTCCTATGTCCTATTCATACACACCTCCAGCAGTGGTGCCAGCACAGCATCTTCCAAATCTCTATTCACCACCGGAAGAGATTTTTAAGTACTGTCCACCAGTAATACCCTTGGACTTCCTGACTCAAAAAGTTACACTGGACTGTAATTAAGAATTGAGAACAGCCTTTCCTAGTTTCACTGGGATTCTATATATCAAAGAAAACTCTTACATGGTTTCTTATTATTTACTTTAGACAAATTCAGGAGACCCTTCTCCATTCCCATCTTCTTCAACTCTCCTGCCAGAGGAAATGATTAAATTTTTGTTTATCCTACTCTGGAAATACTACAACTCTCCCAGATACTTTGCATCATCTCAAGACCTGCATTTCGCCAGCAAATGCAAGTGTCACTGCCTCACATACTTGCCACCTCTCCTTCATAAACAGTGCAATCTTCGAAGCAAGGACAGCCGATTCACTCATGAATCTGCTTCTCATCACCATAGTATTCAACTCAGCATACTTCTGAAATCTGCAGCAGGCACAGATCACGTGGGGTAATAACAACATCAGTTTGACAAATGTTAACCCACCCCTGAAATATTCACTGGTTTAGATGTATTGAGGGAAGGGGAAAATAAACTTGAGTATCAGGGTGAAGCTGTGAAGATGGTAAGAGGAAATCTAATCCTGAACTCTGACACAAATTTGCAATCAACACAAAAGATTCGGAGGAGTGTTCTGGGAGACACAAAAAGCCCCACGTCAATAGTGACTTTGTAGTGACTACAGAAATGCAACAGGAGTTTCTTGCCATAAGATTGCCAGTGAGGAACAGGAACATGACAAACTGGACTTATGACAGATTACCGAAAGCAAAACATCATACGTATTCTTTGGATAAGAACAATGAGGTTACACATGGTGGGATGCAGTTTACAAATTACAGCAAGCGTGGAACAGCCTGGTGGCACAGGCTCGGTGCTGGAGGTTAGGAACCATATCAACAACTTCCTGCTCCGGCTTCCGCTTCACTTTACAACACAGTAACCATCACTGTTGAGTTTAATATTTTGACCTCTATTCTCGGAGCCACATGCACTGCCTGGAGTGGTTGAGGAAAGGTGCACTTCCACAGCGCGGCAGAGTGAACCCAGCAGCTTACTACAGGGCTGTCCTGCTCCGTGTCATCCTCCCTTGCCACTTTCCTAGCCTGCTGTTTCCCTTAGGCAGGCACTGGCACTCATCTCATTGGGGTTTTTTGCTGTGTTAGTCCTCTGCTGGATTAACAGGCTGAATCAGCTCTCAAGAAGGTGGAATGAGCATCAGAGCCAACACAGGGAAAAGAGAGAGAGTGCATGGCTAAGAAAGGGGAGAAGAGACATCTGGTTTGCCCCTTCCATCTCCCTTCTCTCTCCTCCTCTCACTAGCCCCTTGGACAGGCTCTGGAATTCACTGCGCCCTTTCACAAGCCATCAAAACTCACTAAAATAGCAGAAAACTACTCCAGTAGAAAACAAACAAAAAAAATCACACCAGCATTCTGCTGAGTTACTTAGTTAAATCTGTTTACAGAGGGTCCAATGACTGCCAGAGCCAGCGCACAGATGGGGGCTGGTGAGGGACGGGAGCAGAAGGACAGTTTGAAGGAGAAAACAAGACCAGCTCCTTTTGCTGGCAATAAGGTGTTCTGCCCGCTCCACTGCCAGGCCAGCTATAGCCCAGGTGAGTGTATGTTGTGCCACACTGTGACACCACTGAAGGATGGGAAAATAAATTGGTGTGTAAACTTAATTCTACACCCCCTATTTTTCAGAGGTTCAAATTACACGAAACCATAGGGCAAATTAAGCCTTTAGTCAAGGAAACACATTAATTAATCTCCTAAGGGTTTGGTGAGGAATTGTTTACAAAAAGGATAGCATTTGCTGTAGGAGTTTGACTCAAATCTCAAAAGGGACTTCTGTTGTAATGACGATGTTTACTGCCTCCAGAATTGGAATTCAGTAACTTGAGTTGGGCATCTAAATGCCTTGTATAAATCACTGGCGAGTGAGGAATTCAAAGGACATGCAGTATTGTAAGCTCCTACATGAAGAGGGAGCTTTTTCCAAAACTGCTCACGATTTCATAATCAACAGCGATCTCTGGAGAAGGCATGACACCCCTTCCTCCACCAGTGTCTGGGGCAGTGGTTTCAGCACTGGCTGAAGAGTCACCCTTCACCACTTCCACTGAAGCTACGCCACTGCACCTTGAGGAACTCTGCTGAGCCAAAAGAGCAGACTCTCCAGGCACACACTTTTGTCCAGCACTTTGGACACGTGCTGGGTTTTTTCAGACTTGTGTCTAAGCGATACGTGAATTTATGCACTTGAAGTTATCTTGAAAATTAGTTGTTGACACACTTTACCAACTAGACTAATTCCACTATTTAAACTACAAAGAACATTTTGCACGGCTAGACCATAAAGCACTTTCTAAAATCAACTGTGTTTTACACAAAAGAAATATAGGTACTGAAACACAACATGTCTTTTCTGCCTTCCCTGCCAGGCCGACGACGCAGCCAGGAATAGAATTACAGCTTCCTCAGCCCCACGCCAACGTGCTCCCCACGAGGTCACACAGATGCTGTGCACCTCAGCCTGCCCCCAACTCCTTTAAACCTACAGAGGTTCTACTACAGTGAACTGAGAATAAGCATCATACATTAAAGCAAGTGATCAGCAGCTGACAGGACCGATGACGGAAATCACAGACATTGCCCATGCCTCAAATCTCCATACTCTTGCTGAATGATGCCTGCAGTAATGTTAAGCACGTGAGCTGTTGCGTATCTGTGCTTCCGTCCTTCCAATAACACATAGCTCTTCTTGATTATCTCCTTCCCTGCTTTGCTAAGCAGCTAGTACTGCAAAGTCCATTAACACGCACGACACTGCTCATCACTGCCTGACACACTGCTGCGGCATGCTTGACAAAGCTTAGCAACGGAGTTGAACATTTTGTCACTCGAGTAGCGTAACTCAGAGGCAAGTAGTGTTGCACCCGCCACGTGCAGAGGCACCGCGGGAGCCCTGAAACACGGTGAGCAGGCACCAAGCAGCAGAGATGCACCTGAACACCTTATCAGCCCCAGATGGATACACAGAAACATTAACTTGTAGCGAGGCAGTTTTTTGTTTCCAAGGCCCTGTATCTTGGGGAAACCTTTGCTTAGCAAGCCTGTAATTTTGATCCCTAACGCTGCTCTTAACCTCCCCAGGATGCCCAGAGTTTCAAGCTGTACAAGAAAATGCATGAGTTCTGGAGCACACTGGGGTTTTCTCTGCCCCGGGTAACTGTACACTTGAGGTTTATTAAACTTATCATCAGTTTTACTATAACTAGATCTTCACCACATGGCAGTCCTGAAAGAGGGAGCTTCTAAGGAAGCACACGGGGCCGGAGTTGTGTACATCTCTGCGCAGTACAGGAAGTCCACTCACTGCGATCCTGAGTCAAAGATGAACACGGCCCAAAAAGAGTGCAGAGGTCAACGACTACCTCTGACGATGGCCCCAATTACTCCTTCCTAATGTCAGAGTTTCAGAGGCTGCAATAGCCGTGCCTGTTTTAAACCCTTTATTTTAGTCTATGTTCAACTCGCACATGATCAGCACCTTGGTTTCTCACCTTGTCCCTCCTGATGCTGTTTTGACATCTCCCGAATCCTGCAAGATACCACTAACTTCAAGTCCCTATTTTCTCACTAAAAACTGATACATTGTTACATCTCTGAACCCAGTGCCCTCTGCATTTTGTTTACGAGCTAACATACATGTAGATACACAGGTGATTAAATCTGCATTTCGAACCTCCAATTACTTCATAGAAGGATAACTTAAAACAATTCAATTCAGGCTTCTCAACGAGGCTGTCAATAAATCTGGATTTATGAACTATAACAGATATTTATCAGTTCACCAGAAAGTGTTTGAACCTGGAAGTGCTCGGTATATACCTTCTCAACAGCAGAACAGAAATCAGTCATAATCTTCAGACCTTCTTGGAAGGTTATTTTAGTGTCCAGGAAAAGCAGGGTAGATGAAATAAAGTTTTCACTAGCAGGAAAGTAATGTTTATGAAAGTTGAAACATCAAATTTATCTCAATTAAATAACAAATTCCTTTAATCACTGTATTATGTTCCATTTCCTCACTGCCACACCAATACTTCCCCCCTTCCTGATGTCCCTCGGACATTAAGGATATATACAGCATTAACTCCTGAAGAGGATTCTCTTCTCTCCTGCCTGGTGCCTGTTTGCACACAGAACATTTTCTCTGCACAGCAGACATAGTGGAAGAGCTGAAGAGAAAAGTTACAATACACCTATGTTTCACACTGAAAACCCAAGGGCTATCCAACATGAGTAAATACAGATGTCTTCAGCTCCCTCCACTTATTTGTATTTATTTCAACAGGTGATCAAATCACAGCACTTACCAAGTTAAAACAATAAAACACTGTTAGCTCTTTGAAAAACAAATGCATGCCACTAAGAACAAAGAGTTTATCCTCCCTGTCGTTCCCCTCTCCTTCAAATCAAGACAAATTTGCCATAAGGATGAAACACAACAGAGAAAGAGACAAAGGCGAGTCAGAATTCACACCAGTTCCTACAGCATTATGTAAAAGAGAGGCTTTACTTCAATTCTTACCTCCTCTTTCGTCTCTTTAAATGAAGACTTTAAAGATCGGCTTCGGGGGTCCTGGGGCTTGGTTTCTTCCTGCTGCCCAAAAAGCTCCTCAATTGTCTTTGTATCAATCTGATACTGCGGTCTTGCAGCAATCGTCCAGATGTTGGTTTTACCGCGGACTTGTTCTTCAGGGATAGTTTTCCAGAAGAAGCTCCGCATTCGTTTTTTTTTGCCGTGGTTGTCATGCCCATTTATCAGCTGGGGAGGCAGGGGTACGCTTGGCCCAGGCAGTGGCGGAGGGGGGGGCGGGGGGGGCGGCATCCCCGGGGGGAGCGGAGGGGCTGGGGGTGCCCCTGCGAGGGGACATGGCGGAGGGGGCGGTGGCGCTGCAGGCTGAGAATGTTGCGATGCTGTCGTCGCATCCTCGTTCGTTAATCCCGTTGCGACTGGAATAGCCCCATTTTCTTTATCATTGACCAAGGAGAGACAATTCATAACATGCATTTTATGGCCTCTCCAAAGAGGAGAGTGTTACTTCCTTGGAGCAGTTTGAAACATTGAGTAGCGAGCGCAGCAGCAACTGATATCACGCCCTCTCAAACTCTAGTCTGCCAGCAGCGGCAACACAAGAGGGGACTGTACCATCTTCGCAACCTACAACAAAGGACAATAGGGAGACTCAGATAAGAGAGACTGGATATTGTCCCTCACGCTGAAAAGACACTAAAATTAAGGTATAACAGCTATCAAGCTTATAATCCAGAAGGGAAATTTAGTGAATCAAAAGTCTTTCCCACGGCAACTGTGTAAAATTTAGCCACACAAAGATTTCATATAGCTTTGGGTACTTAGGTTCTAAGAACATGTATGAAAATGAAAATACCAAACCCATCTGTTAATCTCAATTCGGTGCAATTTTGTAAGAGAACGTATTTATCTGAAATTATTAAAACAAACAAATATTATTCCACTCATAATTTTAGATATTTTTTTAGAGGTGATTACACACAGTTAGAAAACGTAAGTACTAACTACAGTCCTGGGTTAACTGGATCAAACAGACCCCGTTTGAATCCTTTTAATTCGTGGCTTCAGTCCAAGCTGCATTAAAATAACGAACAATATGTCAATGATTTAACAATCTAGCCTAATGTACTTCTTTTTTGCCTTCATATTTTTCACACAGTTGTCAATAAGGGAAAAACAGTGAGCAGTCCCTAAACATTCTGTGTTCACTGAGCATAAACTTGGAGTATCTGCATTTTACCATTACTGGTCAGGTTACACTACCTCACAAAATGCACTAAGAGAAGAAAGACCACAGCTTGATTAAGCTGCCCTTTATAATTTACTTTAGTGTCTAGGTTAACACAGCCAGTTCAATAAGCGGAGGGAGAGAGAAAGGACAGAGGAGCTGACAGGAACAGTAGCCTACACATCCTAAGCACTGTACCTATGCAAAGCTTTAAGTATTTAGGAATGCTTTTACATCTAGATTACCTCATGAAGCAGCTTAACAGGAATCACAATAGTTTTGAGCGATTTTTCTTATACTGTCACCTACTAAATGAAGATGCTGCTATTGACAGTAAACCTTCAAGTAAGAGCATGACTTCTGCGAAAAGCACAATTTTGACAGGCCAAATCTATTAAAACAGATTTACTTCCTAAGTCTCAGAGAAAACAAATTAAGGTGTTTCCATTACAGACCAACGAAGAACCGCATGGTTTTATGGAAATTTGTAAATTATATTAAAAAAAAAAAATCAGGAATTTGAAAAAAAACAAAACAAACAAAAAACAAACAAACAAAAAAAATCAAAGATACCACAAAATACAAGTTTAGATAGAATAAAGACAGTCCTTGAGCAAAAATCAGTCACAGGAAAGCTCAACAGAAAAAGCTGAAGTAACGCACTGGCACAAGAACAGTATCAAATCAGAAATCTGGCACTGATTTAGTTGTATGCCTCTTCAGCAGGGTTCACATAGAGCTAATAGCAATCCAGATCAATTTGACACTGTATAATAGTGATGAAAAACCTTCACTATTTTTGCCAGAGGTCCATCATTAGAGTGTACATGAACAAACAGACCCAGGTCACAGAAACAAGCCTTAGGGCAAATTCTCTCTTGGTCTGCAAGGACTCAGCCACTCACAGCTTCAATGAAGCCAATGGAAAATGACACAAAATGATCCACTGTACCTTTTGTTGTCAAAAGCTTGCACAGGTAGCAACAAACTCTTCTTTCCTGCTTCAGATTTTCTAACCTTATCCCTTACGTTACCAAGGTATTCGCAAGAATAGAAAACATACATAAAAACCTGTATGAGGTGTAAGTCATAGGAATGATGGACAGTATTTTAAAGGCAGGGTAAAAAGGGGAAGAACTACAAAGAAAGTTGATCGGGATTGAGGGTTTAAAATTTAAGTCGGCATTAATACCCAGTTGCTATTACAGAGCTCTGTATGTTCATGCCTCTCCTCCCAAGTTCAAGATCATAGAAGCAGAGAGGCATAAAAAAGCAGGTGCAAGGTGGTGGAAAGAGATTAACCACTCAAAGCAATTAAGTGTTGCATTAATTTAAAGAAATACTCCACTAGGAAAAAATCTTTTCCTCCCTACCACTTATTTTAAAATGAAAAATGTATTAGCTAGTCTTCCACCATCACAAAGTAGTATTCAACAGTTATTATTTTCTAACTTGGGTTCCCACAGATTGAAAAAAAAGAGACAGACAGACTGACCGACCATGCCCCTGGGCAATGTGCAAGAACCTCATTGTGAAACTTTCAATAAATCTAAATGCTTTAAGAAAAATGGGATCAAATCCTAAGGAAACAAAGTTGTAGGCAATGAATCATCAGAGTCCCAGTGCTAACACACAAGAGTGGAAAACGACTGATCTCAGACCTGAGCGCTTCAGAGTTAGACAAGGGACACTCCTAGTGAAAGGAGTGGAGAACGCAAGGGGAAGAAAACATCCCAACCTAGATGTAAAGATAGATAGATAGAACAGGAAAAACTGTTTTCAAGCCAAGGAGCCCTGTACTGCTTTAAATGAGGTAACCGTCACCCAGAACCCTAAGGAAGAATCAGCATTTGGAAGGAAGGGATGAAAGGAAAGGCACAGCATAAAGGCTGGCATTCAGCTTTGTCTACTGACAGATAAGCACAATGCAGGTGACAGAGGTCACCTGCTTGGAAGAGAACAGCAGTCTCGAGTTACCAGATACCAGGAGACTGGTCAAAACTCCCTTCTCCTGCTGCCTCTCGGAGGAATGGCTCAAAGATGTTCCCAGCACCCCCGCCATTACCATGGGAGGGAGAGGAGAGAAGCTGGCAGCCGGGACGGGCTCCGGGCTGCTCCTTGGTATCAGCAGGTGTCTCCGAGCAGGAAGTACAGTGAGAGGAGGTGGGGAACAACGCAGCCGATCTGACTGTGAACTACGGAGGGAGGATTACCGAGACACGCCGGGACTGGGATGCATAAGAACACCCAAGCCAAACTTTAACCCTAGAGGAGCCTTGCTGCACTTTTCAAAGGATTAAAGGGGGGAAAAAAAAAAAAAAGGACCCAAGAACAAAGGCTTAAGATGTCTTAATTACACTTCATTATTGCGTGTTTGTTATCCAAAACAGCCCAAGTGCAAAAGCTCTAAAGTAACATCTTTACTGAACGTTTTAATCGCCATATTTGGCATGAAAGAAATACTTTATTTCTTTGTCTCTCTCATTCATTGTTTTAGCCAACCTAACCTAACTTGGAAATGGATTTCAAAGTTAGAAGGTGGGGACAACTTTCTCCCCACGTAAGAAGACAAATGCTCTAAAGTGATTTGTTTCCTGCAAAAAAGGTAGTTGCCACTGAGATGGACATACGTTTGCGTATACAAATTAACAGGTCAAATGCACAATGCGCTGAAGGGCATTCCGTAATTCAGACTGCAAGATATTACTCCCTTTAACTCGCGCCTTATGTTCTCTGCTGCTCACGTTTCTGTGTCAGGCGTCCTCCAAATTCTCATGAGAACAACGCCGATTTTGACACCAAAGCCCAACCAGAGCATTTGGGTGTCTGGGTCTCAACAACCGCCGTACCAAAAGGTAAAACAGAGCAACCAGTTGCTAACTGCAGATAAAGAAACTGCAAACGCTGCCTCGTCTAACTAGCCAGCTGATCCTGCCGAAACGTGTCGGTTACAAAGAAGACGCAGCTCGTGCTATCGCAGCAACTTAGCGCCTAACCACTTCATGCATCCAACAAAATCCCTCGCACGGCGCGACCTCCCCGCGGGTTCACCACCAAGCGACACGGGCAGCGCACAGAGGGCCCCGGCGGCGGGCAGGGACCTTACCGGCTCTGTCAGAGGGCTTCGAGTCCAGTTATTTTTTTTTTTTGTCCAGGCTCCCAGCCGCCGCAGGGAAGGGGACCGGCCCTCAGCCTTACCATCTTGTTTCAACGTGCGGAGCGGCTGCTTGGCTGGGGTGCGAGCGGGAGGCGGGCAGCGCGCCTACGCGCCCGCCGCAGGGACCACCCGAGGGGCCCAGAGAGGGACCCCGACTTCCTAACTCCCCCCAACCGGTGCCACAGGGGAGCGCCGAGGGCTTTTCTGGGGCGGGGGGGGTAAGGTGCGCGGCGGCGGTGCCGCTCCGGACCCGGGCTACAACCGCGACCGCCTCACCTCGGGCTCCCTGAGGCGCCTCGCGCCCCGCCCCAGCGGCCCCGCCCCGCCCCGCCCGCAGGGGGCGCCCTCGCGCCCGCCGCTCCCCGGCGGAAACTGCCCGACCCCGACCCCTGCAGGAGGCCGGGGAATGGGGGGGGGGGCGGTGTTGGGGTCCCGTCCCGCCTCAAGGGCGGCGGAGCGAGCCGGCGGTCCCCGCGGCAGCCCCCCTCACCCTCCCCCCCCCCCCGCCCTGCGAGGGCAACGGGGCGGTGGCTGCCGCCCGTTGACACGGGAGCTGGAGGAAGCGGCGGCGGAGCGCCGAACGCCGGGGTCCCCCGGGGAGGACACCCCATTTTCCCGGGAGCGCTCCCCCCCTCCACCGTCTCGGCAAGGCGGAGAAGGACACACTGAGACACCCCCCCCCTCCCTTCCTTGCGCGCCCCCCCCGGCAGCGCGGAGCCCCCGCCCGGCCACGAGGGGACCCGCGCAGGGTCTGTTTCCCCGCCGCCCCCCCCCCCCCCTTCTCCGCGCCGCACCGCTCACCTCCGCGCCCGCGGGAGCACGCGGCACCGCGCACAGCAGGGCCCGGTGCCGCCGCCGCCGCCGCCTCCTCCCATCGCGCCGCGGCCGCGCCGCCGGAGCGGGCGGGGGGGGGGGGGGAGGGCGGGGCAGCGCGCAGGCGCGGCGCGGGCGGGGCCGCGGCAGGTGACAGCGGCGGCGGCGGCCCCCGGGCTCCCCCCCGGGCCCGGCCGGTGCAACCGAGCCCGGCCCAGCGCCGGGCGCTGCCGCATCAGCCTCCCCGGCGGGGCCGTGGGCTAAGGAAGTGCCCGCTGAGCTGCCTGAGGGGTGTACCTACGTGTGTGTGTGTGTGTGTGTGTGTGTGTGTGCCTATATATATACACACATATATATATATATACATATATATATATACACGTGTATATATATACAATTTACCACACGCTGTCAGCGCAATCACAGCACCACTTCCCCGAGGACAAGGACCGCAGTGCGAGCAGCCACGCTCCCGCTGAGAAGGAAGGGGCTCCCTTCCGCAGCTGAAGCCTTCCACCCTCGCAAGCCCAGGTCAGGGAGCCGGTGAGCCGGAGGGGCAGGGCAGCAACCCCCCCTCACCCCTCCTCCTTCAAGCCCCCCCCCGCCTGGAAGTGGGTCCCCCCCAAAGCGGGCAGGACGAGCGAGCTTCGGGCAGGGTTGTGACCAGAGGCCTGGGTTACGGCACACAGGGCAGGTGGCAGGACAGGTGGGCTCCTGAAAGCCAAAGTGCCATCCGGAGATGATACAGCAAACACAGATGTTGTTCTACAGTATTTTGCTAAGAGAGTGAACCACAGTTTAAGGATAAAACCGTTTTTTAAGAACTTCACTCAAGTAAATAAATAGTCACAGGTGTAAGGAGCAAACACAGCCCACACACCCCAACACGACTTTCTTCAGAAGGTCAATTCTGAGGCAGAATCAGAAACGCTTTCTTGCCTGAGAAAGGAGGGAGGGAGAAAGAAAAAACCTCACCCCCAGCTTTGCAGAATCAGCCACCAGAACTTCTGAGCCGGGCACACGAGAGAGAAAAATCACACCTTGGCACAGCCAGGGGTGGGAAGGCAGGAGCAGGAGGACAAAAATCAGGTCACATCTCGGTGTGGAGTGCCTAAGCTGCGCTGCTGCCTCTGCCCGGGGGCCGGGATGCAGGGACCGGAGGAAGAGCGGGGGGCCAGGCGGCCTCCCCCAGCTCCTGCCCCAGAGCCCAGGCCTGTGGTCTCTGAGGTTTCACCACCCTGGCTTACAGCGTAGCAGCCAGAGGTCTGACCTACTGGTCTGGCAAGACAGCCCATTTGAGTCAGTTGATTCAAAAAAAAAAAAAAACAAAAAAACCCAAAACAAACAAACAAACAAAAAAAAAAACAAAAAGCAAAAAACCCAAACAATTAGAAGACAAGGAAAATTTTAAGAAATGCTATGTCAGAACCTGGTCGTTTTAAGCTCAAAATTCACATAATGAAAACATCTCAGCTGCAGTAAATGGCAATTCCTACCAGGAATCTCCGCTTGGCAGGGCTGGCGGCAGCTGGGGAGGACACGCTCAGCTTTGAGGCAGCATGGACATTCCTCGAGAGTGTCGGGTCACCCCTGAGGTCACCAGCGAGGAAGCGCGTTGCCGCTTGGACTGTAGCTGCTTGTGTTGGAACCAAAGAGACTTGCTTTCGCTGCTGCCAGTTATGAGCACAAGTGTTCACTCAGAAAGACAGAAAGAGCAAGCCAAACAAGAAGCTTGCATAATGGCATTGCATTTAAAACAAACAAACAAACAAACAAAAAACACAAACAAACAAACCACCCCAAAAAAACAACTCACCCAAAAACTGAACAGGGCAGCGGATGACCTGGGAGCCAGTCCGGATGTGAAGTTAAACTCTTAACTTTTCCTCACTCTAAGTTGTTCTCCCCCCGAACTTTTCCAAAACACAATGTTAGCAAATCAATTTTAAATTTTGAGCTGGTGTTTTTTCCCCCTAAAAATGTGAACATTCAGCAGGCAAAGATTTTGCCCACATGGTTAAAATTAATCCAAGTTACAAACAACTGAAAACAGGTCTTTAAAGTAGGAAGTATTAAGCAACTTTAATAATAGGTAGATCGAGCAGCCCCACCTATAATAAGCAACAAATGCACCTCCCTAGAACAGATATCATTTAGATGGGTTGGTATACTACAAAAACAAATCCTATTGTTAATATTTGAAGATTTCTAGTTAACGAAATGCTCAAGATAGTTTTCAAGATCACCTTCTTTTAAGGCATTACCTTTTTTTTTTTCTTTTCTTATGAGAGAAAATAACCTTCTCTTGTAAGCTCTGCTTTAGAGCAGAAAGCTTCTAATGCTTTAGGCTGAACATGAATTTAATGACCAAACAGATCTAATGAGAACAAAGCAATTTATACCACCCGAACAAAAGGTGTCATCATCCTCATTACAAGCTCTCATTTCTACAATGTTTGGACAAAGGCAGGAGAGAAAGTTAATCGTGACGCTCCAGTCACATTAAAACCAAGTTCTGTTTGGTTTCAAAATTAAGCACTGTGGTAGTTAACCTCTTGAAACAAACCCCTGCAATTAATTACCACTATCACATAAAACTAGCATGATGCATACACATATGAAAGTTCAAGACTGAACAGGCAACACTAGTTTTTAGCATTATTTAAGTTTTAAGTGCTTGAATTTACAGCTTTCAGTATTCTTTAAAAGGCAGCAAGGTGTATAATTATTTTTCTAATTAGCACAGTAGGACATACCATTTGTTAAGTACCATTTACTAGGAACACATTGCTGATAGCTGAACTGCTCCTGACTGAACCAATAGATTTATGCTGGCATAAACAGTAATAGCAGGGCAAACCCAAACTAAAAATTTGTTTCAGGTTTACTCTGTTCTATATCTGATCTCTGCACTTAATTAAGAAATGTTATCAGACAGCCATACTGGTACCCATCTAAGTTCTACCAACTGGTGATGCAAGGGAATTCTTGAAAGATACTCTCAATCGCTTTTTCTGCTTCTCCTGGAGTATCATATATTTCCATTCTTACAGTAGCTATTATCTTTAAAATGGGTTCTCATAAAGACATGAGACAGAGTGTATTTGTTCAGAAAACAACGTGTTTTTTACCTACAGCAATTATAAAAACTTGAACACACATTTTGCTGAGCATAAGTACTTAACAGAAATACAGAACTAATAGTGGACAGCACAGCATTGTTGATGCTCCTGCCCCCTTCTTAATTTTTTTTTTTTTTACTTTTTTTTAGGAAAGCCAGCTGAAGTGTAGTAAGTAGTGCCTTTGTGCCACCATTCTCAGCTGTAGGAAACAAAAGATTTGCAAACCATAGATTGAGCTTTTTTTGTCCAAGGCCATTGCTCTGCAATGAAAACTGATGAAACAGCAACACATCATTTTTCCTTTCCACTGCTCCTCTATCAATTTATGCTCTTCTGCACCAAGGCAGGCACAAGCCATCCGATTTGCTACTCTTACGCTACAAGGTAAAGTACTTGCTCAATTCACTTCAAACTATTGCCATGATGACAAAAATGTGTAAACACATCCCATCTACCCAGCCACTTGGTTTCCATATAAGATTGACAGAAATGAAAAGACCCTTGGTGAAAATAGGTGCACCGGGGTGAACAAGACTACTGTCACTGACACAGAACTGTACCTTCTATGCATCACTAGCTTTAACACCAAAACAACCTGAAAGAACATAAAGATGTCAAAGAACTACTAATAAAGCCAACCAACAACGAGAACAGAGAAAAATATAAACCAAGCAACGGTCAACTCCTCTGTGGAACCTCTAATCAAAAAAATAAACTTTCAATTTGACACAACTTAGCTGCCAGTAGTTGGGTAAGCTTGGGATGGGGGCAATCACAAAATACGAAAATATTAATGACTAATTAAAATACATATCTGTGACTAGTACAACCCTCACATCAAGCATGCAGCATGGAAGAGATAACAAGACTGAAAAAAAAAAAAACAAAAAAAAACCCAAAAAAACAAACCCAAACAAAACCAACAAACCCTAAAGATAATTGCAGATGGGGAATGCTAAATAATTATAATACCTTATTATGCTTGTAACACCACAACAAGGAACAAGAGCAGATAAGCAGAGAATACAAACTGAACATGCCCCCTGTTCGGTTCAAAACATAGTTGAGGGGAACATTTAGCCTTCCTTTTATATTACTTTGATCATTTTTTGAAGTAGAGACAGAACAGAGATAAGGCTGCTGGGAAAACTAGTTGACAGAAGATTGAAATCAAGCTGTTACTTTAATGATACTGCTGTGTTACTGTACTCTACTTGCATAGACCTCTCTTCAAATGTAACCATAGATACATTTTATAACCAGAAAGGTTCTTTGTCATGGCTTGACAAAGAATGAAGTATGCCGAAGAGCATTTTTTAGAGCAGAAGAGCTGTTTGTAGAACTCAAAGTGACAGGAACTGTAAGTTTCAAACAAGCCAGGAGTGCAGGTAACTGGCAGTACAGTCACGGAGAAACGAAACAGCTCCCTGGGTCCCTCTCTGTTTGGCATAGCAGCTACGACAGCATATCTGAAATGCTAACTGCTTTAAATTCTTCTTCCTGAGAAGCCTCACACAACACTAGAAGCACTAATGTGATAACTTATAACAGAGATTAAATCTTTCACAGATAAGACTCTCCTCGGTGGGTACGGCCCCCTCTTCAAACAAACAAAAAAATCCATCCTGACAACTGTCTACCTAGATAAATGCCAGCATTACAACCTTAAGATATTTATACAGCTTTACAAAGCTTGACAACCATAATCAATTCCCATTAGAAACTTCGAAAGAGCGTTCCTCGTATGATCTCCACAAGGAAACGTTTCTGAATCTGGTTAGATCGAAAGAGCTAACTTTGAATATAAGACATGAGAGCCTGAATTATTTCATGAGTACATATATTTGAATGAGGACAAAGAAAGAGAGTACTACAAAAGGCAATCAGTTTAATATCCTATCGATCAGCTGAACACAGAACCCTCCTGACGG